TTGCTTTTCAAAACATTGGTATTTTATAAAACTTAATGTTCTTCACTTGCAGGTTCTTTGGAGTTTCTCTCTGTTAAACCAAATTTTTCAGTCGCTTGTGGTCGTTCCCCGCCCTCAACCCTCGGCGGGGGTAACAGAGCCCGCCCCCTGTCCTCGCCAGCCTCCGCCTCTCCTCCCTGGTCTATCAACCACACCGCTGTTGTTGCAGCCATTTTACCGTGGAACGTCGGCAAAGAGGCGACCAGAGGATGTCCAGACAGCACTGTTAAAAGGTAACTCCGCATTTTTGTTGGGCGGTTTAATTGCTCTCGGTAATCATTATGTTTCCGACTCAGCGAATATATCGGATGCGTCCTGGCGAGCTGAGGGCCAGACCGGCCGGAGAAGCTGACTGCCTCAACAACTAGTAGCTGCTGAGGCAGAGGAAAGCTTGCTGGGAGAGTGTTTGGCGTGCAAAGCTTGTCGCTGGCAGTTCAGAAGTCTGTGTCAAAAATGGCGACGTCTTTTACCAGACCACTAAAAGTAGTAAATGAGGTTTAGTGTAGCGACTACACGAATGTTAAATTTTTTATACTTTGATGCTGCTGGACTGCGCTGTAGATTAAGATGAGTGTTATTACTGCGTCCGCAAGGAGGGGGCGCTGGAGAGCTACAGAATGACGTAGCTTTGCGCACGTTAGGGAATCTTTACCGTGGTTAGCTAGTTTTTTGTTTTGTTTCTAAATCAGCCTTTCTGTTATTTTAGGTTTATTTGTTCTTATTAACCAAGTAAACGAATCAGTATTTCTGGTTTTTGTTTACACATGGACCAGTCACAAGATGATGTGAATAGTGAAATTACTTCATTTTGTTAAGGTTTTTTTGGGGGGGTGGGGGGATGGGCCATTTTTTGCTTTTATTACTTCTGCCAGGTGCCGAGGTTACTAGCCCCAGCTGTGGGAGCATACCAAATTGATAATTGCCAAACATTTTAAACCAGCACTGTTGTTTCATAACACCCAAAATCTGAAGGTATTTTCCGGATCTTCATAATCTCATCCAATGATACAGAATCAAAAATCATCTGGTCCAGTCCAGGAAACATCCAAATATTTTTCAGTTTTTGTAAAGATAGACTTGGCTTCACTGAAAAGTTAAGATGGTGACGGGAAATGACGTCGTCTCTCTTTCTGATTCTGAAGGTCGAGCACAGGGCCACCAGTGGTCACCTATGACTTACCATTTACACAGTCTGATGCACTCTGCAGAATTAATAGTATTTGAGTAGTTTAGCTGATTTATAAAAAATTTTAAGTTTTTCCTGGACTAGACTGGATGAGTTTTGATTCTGTATTGTTAGAGTTTATGAGGACGCATGAAATACCTTCAGATTATGGGCGAGTTTTATGAAATGACGGTACGGGTTTAAAATGTGTGTAATACGTGAGAGTCACAGGGCATTACCAACTAATGAACTAGAGGAACCCAACAAATCAAATAATAAACTGGTGGCCATTGTAATGTTTTTACCATTGTAGATACCAAATTGGCTTGGCCTGGCCAATTGGCTTGGGTTCCTGTGCTTACAGCTGACGTCACACATTATGGCTGTAGGGACCAGTTCTTGCTACCATGCTAACTCTGAGAGACGAGGCAGTCCAAGTAACTTCAAAACAGTGCTGATTTATTCAAAGGATCGCAGGTAAAATTAACATTACACGCTCAGGTATCTTGCACCTCCAACCTGCTCGCAGGCAGTTGTAAGATGAAAGACCCCGAACCTCAACAGGCCTATACATTATATCCCCTCGGTTGGGCTAGCCCCATACTACACAGAAACGTCAACCGAGACGTCTCTCTCACCAGCTTTGCAGCTGGCTCTACCAATAGTCAAAACATGAAGCAAATCAACGTGTGAATGTGTATGTCTGTTGGTTAAGTGGTGTGTAGCTAAAAACATTCTCACGACCTCTAGTATCTGTCGTAACTCGAACATAGGAACATTATGGGTAAGTCTACAGTTATACACATCATAATAATAATATTAAACACCCTGTCTGCTGACAGTCATCAACTCTTCTTACTGGTAACCTTGACCAGATGTACCCTGCAGAAACTCATGAGCAGGCCTAAGCATTTAACAGTCTAACTAGACACCCTATCTCCACTAACATTTCTATTACATAAAGTATCTATCCAATATCTATCTGACTAAAAATATTTAACATGGCTGAATGCTGGAAAGTGTATGATGTCTGACATTAATATTAGCTATGCTCATAACAATTGCTACCTAACTAGTTGTTGAACAGATACCATTACTCAAGCAAGAATAGCTGTCAATGTAAGGTTTGTAACAGATCACTAGCTAGCTGACTAGGTGTTGTTCAGCTAACATTATCCAAGCAAACGGCTATTACTGAAAAAAACTTAGAAAAAATCAACTGGACTTAGATTTCTAGGTCGAAGACGTTTCACCTCTCATCCAAGAGGCTTCATCAGTTCTGACTGACTGGTGTTGAGCTGGAAATATTTATCCCCCTCGGTGGTGTTTCAGTCCTTTGGAGGCCAACAATGTCTCTTAACGACTGAATCGTTATAGCCCAGTATCGGTGAGAGTCGTTACCTGTCTTTGAATCCTCCCCTGTCGACCGACGCCCATTGTCCTGGTGGGCATGTTTGGGCAGAGATCTCAAAACAGGATTGTAGGTGGATGACAAGTTGTGTCTTAGTCCAACACCCCTATTTAGTGAGGGGTGATCTATTTTTACAAAAATAGCTTCCTTAACTCCTCTCTCAAACCAGCGATGTGCTCTGGAGAAGATCTGGACTTCACTGTCCTCAAAGGAATGTCCTTTGTCCTTCAACCAACCTCAATATCCCAGTTAACTTCGACCTAGAAATCTAGTCCAGTTGATTTTTTTCTAAGTTTTTTTTTCAGTTTACTATGACCTGGATGACTGAGAATCTGCACAGACAAACGCCTATTAATTTCTAACATTAATGTTAAGTTTGATGTTTGTAAAAATGATGCGAGAAATTACTAGCTGTGCTTGCTTAGGTAGGCTAGTAGTGCAGAGTTTACAGTGAGTGTAATCCATGAGCGTACTATTAGAGCTTCTTTATTTCCCATGGTGTAATCGCATAGTAGCAGTACTTCAGTCATTATAGACTTTCTGACTTGCAGTATGTGATGTCAGCTAAAATCACAGGACCCTGAGCCAATCTGGCAGGCCAAGCCAGTTTAGTACCTACACTGGCTTGTTTTTTTTTTTTTTTCCACAGCATAACTCAAAAAGTAATAAATGGAATATGATGAATTTTCTTGGAGAAGTAGGGTATGACCCATGGAACAATTGATTAGATTTTGGTACTGATCCAGATCGTTGTTCAGATCCAGGAATTTTTTAGATGATTCTTCACCACTGTGAGATGGGACCTATTCATAGTTTACAGTCACGGGACCGGCACAAAGCCCTGAAAGGGAAAAAAAACTTGGCAACTAACGCTGGACATTCGGTAGAACTCTAGTGCATGCATGTTCTGGGTGTGTTCTATTCGTCAGCTTGATGTTAGGTCTTTTTGTCTTAATTTCACTGCTGTTTTCTAAATCTACTCCACCAAGAGAGAAGACAAGTAGTGCGGCCCGAGCAAGCTAACATGTGAATGAAGAGAGGGAGGGGTCCTAGCAAAACAAAGCAGAGAATCAGAGAAATAAAACATTATTTTGTGATCGTTTAGGGCTGTGTATTGTCAAGAATCTGGCTATGATATGTATCATGATACAGGGGTTGCGATTAGACTTATTGAGATACTGTAAACATATGTAGCATTTTTTTAAATCAAATTTTATAAAACTCAAAAAATAAGCATAAAACCTCCTGTAAAAAGTTTACTTTTTGTGTTGTTTGTTCACCAAGCGCTTCCAGCTTGCAAATGAACACGTTCCCCATACAGCCACAAGCGCGAGCCTCACTCAAGGTGCACGCAAGATGCTATGTGCTCTACTTGCTATGCCTCTTGTCTGTGCCACAGTGTGAACTGTTGTGCCTCTAAATCTGAATGATTGGTCAGTCACCGGTCAAGGCTGATCACACTGAAAACTGGCCAGTTCCAATCTGTCATTTTGCAACGTGAATTATCATCTTAAACATGACTGAAAGCTCAAAAAAATGAGGTGTACTTATGTAGTTTGTGGATTTCCTTGTATGGTTATATTCTCCTGGCTGTGTGTCTTCATGCAAGACTGCATACATCTAACCTACAATTATCTGACCAGTGAAGACCCCTGGAGTGGTGAAGGATCAGTTCACCAATGCTGGATTCCTCCAGGAGCATAGAACCTGTTTGTTTTGAGTGCTTTAGGCCAGTGTGTTTGCCACATGCGTATGTTGCCAGTTGGCGGGAGGATTCTAACAATCCATGATGTTGTCAGCGCAGGGCTACCTGTTGGGAATGTATGTGGTTGGTTGTAATGCGAGGGATTTGTGGGGGAAGACATAGTGATCACTGGTTGGATTTATCAACCATGGAGTTTCCACTGCTTGGTGGGACGAATAAACCCCATTGCATGCCTGTTAATGCATTGTTTCTGTAGAGAATTTTTTTTTTAAGGCTGGAGAATTTACTATGTATGCATTATGCCATGGAGGAGAAATTCAAATTAATTAATGCTGTTGCGGTTCGTTGTGTTGTCTACTCTCATATTCTGGCTCAAACATGTCAGGTAGGATTTGAGGTATTGTCATTGTTGAAAACATACTGTAGCTTATTTGTCAATGTTTTTAAGTTCCCCCATTGAGATGTCTTTTCCCTGTTCAAAACTCAGTTTCATGTAGTGCCCCCCTCAGTGGGTGTGGTTAGAATAATGTTAGGGGAAACACATCTTGATGTGGAGACATATTTTGACACAACACCAGCAACAGGAGTTGTCGTTTTCAGGAAGAGGCTCTTTGGTTTTATTGTTCAGAAATAATTACAGACTATTTGGAGTTATGATGGGTGCAAAACTAAGATAGCGGTACCCAGGATTAAGCATTAAATGGCTGGAAATGAACATGCCCTGGGCTCATTGATCAACAGAAGGAACTTTCCATTAACATTACACTTGCATCATAACTGATTTGATATAGGGATGAAACGGTTACTGGTGTCACGGTAAAATTTCCAAGGGCTAGTATTACCACTTCTTTTAAATATCATTGGTTGATTACCACGCTTTGAAAAACCCCCCCGCTGAAGGGTTAAATACCGTCGACTCCACGCTATAACACATCATATAGTGCAGGGGTCCCCAACCCCCGGACCGGTAGTGGTCCGCAGATCATCTGGTATCGGGCCGCAAAGAAAAAATTTTGTGGTTAAAATTTTAGTTATTTTTCTTGCATTAGTCTTAGTTTGAAAAACGACTGTTTCTGCCCTTGCCTCACTACCGCACTTGACTGTGGCACGCCATTTTACGCATCAGCGACACAAGCTAACCCTTAAAAAAAAAAAAAGAGAGCCAAAAACAAAATTCACTGGTGAGTTTTTTGGGAAGGAACGAGCAAACGATGGGACAGCAGAAGGGTCACAGACTGCCAGCAAAAAGAAAGCTGCATTTAAAAGAAAATACCACGATTCGTACTTAATTTGCGGGTTCATTGCAACAGGTGATACACCAGCTCCACACCCGCTATGCATAATTTGCAGTGACCGACAAGCTAATGAAGCCATGAAACCGTCAAAAATGCTTTGCCCCATTGAAACAAAACACCCTGCGTTAACAGATAAGCCCTTGGAATTTTTTTCTAGTTGCAGGGTAACAAGAACCAGGGCTCCCACTGAAATTATGGTGAGTTGATATAATAGTGTAGAATTATTGTAATTGCCTAATATAAAGTGTAATTGTTGCATTCAGATGACATACTATGAACTGACAGAGGTTTTTGTTATTGGAACCCCCGCGCCTCTACCCGGTCTGCAGAAAGATTTTCATGCATGAAACCGGTCCCTGGTACAAAAAAGGTTGGGGACCACTGATGTAGTATGGTCATCCACAAATATATTTTGCTTATTTAAAATCCAACAGTCATCGCCTTGGTTGAAAAACTGGTCAGAAGCACAGCGGACTGAATTATGTTGAGCTAACAGTTTCCTGGGAAGACAGTGTGGATACAGCTTATGAGAAAGAGAAACTGAAATACACAGAATTAGCTATGAAGGCAGAGGAGCCTGGCTGGAGAGTTAAAGTCCACCTCATGGAGGTTGGTTATAGGGGATTTGTAGCCAGCTGTCTCTCTGCCAGGTGAGTTGGGTATAAAAGGGTGGAGCCTAAGACAGGTAATTAGAAATCCATCTGATAGTGCAGCAAGCTCCAGTGAGTGGCTCTGGTGTAATAGAAAAGCGAGTGAGTTGGGTAAAAAATAGGGTAGTTTCTGATGCAGTATAAATGGAAGCAGAAGTTTGGCTAGTTACTTGGTGAGCTATTTGAAATATTTGGTGGCTAGAACACCAATCGAAATGTTTTCTAGTCCTAGTGACTAAGAGTTGGCCTGAATTAGTCTAAGTAGAAGAAGGGGTGTGTGGGTGCAGACAAAGAGGGCAATAGTTCTGGGACACTAGAACATGATGTTGAGCCTTCTTGGTGTTGTGGGCCCAACTCAATGAAACACCAGTTGGTGAGAGGGTGCCCAGCTGATGACCCTGTAGACTTTCCTTCACTCCTACACTCGCACAGAAATTGTGTTGGTGATAATATAGTTACAGACTCATTGGGATTGTTACTAGTCTCCTTCTGTTAGACAGTCTTGGTAGAACAGTGTCAGTGGTTGGACACCTGAGCGGACCCGGCTCTCAGAGGTGACTCCCATTACAAGCCAGCTGGATCAGCTGCTGCTTAATCTGAGCAAATACAATGCAGATGTTGTGTGACAAGCCACACATCTGATCTTTGCATAGGTGAGGATAGGGTTTAGGGATGCTTTGTGTTAAGGGTAGATCTGGAAAATGGTTTTTTTGTTTATTGTGGGCTCTGAAGATTTATGACGGCATTGCCTGACACCCCCCTCTTTGGGCCCAAATAATGGGTAAACATCACTTAACTTCTATACTGAGTTTCAATATGAATGCTCTCCCATTCTTTGGCACATTTAATTGTGTATTATCGACTGAATGTATAGTATAGACCTTTTGATTTTCTCAAAAGCTGTTTAGGTTGGGAAGCTTAAGAAAATAAATCGTCATCAGAGAGATAAATCTGAATCTTAGTGAAGAAATCAGTAAAATGCTAAGACTGGGGCTTGGCACGTTTTTAATTTTAAGACCGTCCATTTGACATGAAAGAACATTTCACATCTTTACATTTCTCTCCTGTTTTATTTTTTATTAATTGTTAGGTCTTTGGTGTTTGGTGCTGCAAATGAAAAAGATAAAATTTGTGGCAGTTTCCCTTCCTTCAAATCTCCCTGAATTACCAGATCAAGTTTTTCTCCTGGTGGAAGAGGATCCCTGGGCGTTGCTTCACCTGTCCCAGTGGTCCTGGTTGTCATGACAGCTAACACTGCTCATTTATATGGAGGGTATAAACATGTACAACTGGTGGTGAACTAGGAAAATCTACAGTCGCTTCTGCTTGTCAGCTCTGAGTAATGGGCCAGCTGGGCTTGACCTCACAGCATATGTGGAGCTATACAGTGTCCTTATAGTCGCTATGTTACTCTCTCCTGGTCTGGTTACGTGAGGCATCTGATTGCCCTGCTGCTGACAGACAGTAAGCTAGCCTCTCCCCTGAGCATTAATCTACCTATTGAAAATCTCCAGTGTGTGTCAATGGCTCTAACAATACATCTTCATGCTTAGATTTTACATTCAAACAACACTTAGCACAAACATTTTGCTGTGGACTCTGCAGAACATGCTACAGTTTCTTGATCACATTTAATAAGTATCAAGGAGATCAGTGGATCGGAAGCTCACAGCACCTAGAACTGGCAGAAATAACCATTATAGTAGAGAAATGTTCAGGTAAGACCTGGAACATGTCTGCACTAATGTGAACAGGAGAGAAATACATTTTTGTGCCTCTGCTCCAGCGATAACTGTGGATGGAGGCATTATGTTTTCAGGTTCTCAGTTTGTCTGTATGGCTTGATCTTATGAATCCAATATCTCAAGAAGGCCATTAGCTAATTTCTTCAAATGTGGCACAAGTGTCCACTTGGACTCAAGGATGAACTGAGATTTTGGTGGTCAAAGTGACCCCATGTCTGTCCATTCCTGTGAATTTGACTGGTTGGCAGAAGCATACAACTGCAAAGCGATAATTCTAGGTTATTGTTTTTACATACACACACACACACACACACACACACACACATATGATTATCCTCTGTCACAGCTCACCTATAGCCAGATGTAGCTTGTGGACCCGATATTGAATCCTTGTCCAACTATTCAGGGAGGCCACTTTCCCAACATTGGATCCACTAGCTTTAGTCATGCACATGAACTTTTCCTCCTCGAAATGTGAACTGGTAAAATTAATCTTCAGTCCCTTTTCATATTCAAAACATGTTGTGTTTTGTGGTGGTGAGTCAAGTGGTTATACAACCTGTTACTGGTTAACACAGCTTAGTGAGGAAAAGGGAGCACTTGGTTTGATGCAATGGATCTCGCTGCTAATGCCAAAAATGCAAAGAAACAATCACATTTTCTCTGTCACAATTTATCGGCCAGCACTGTGTGAGCAGCAAGGTAAAGGAAAGCTTTAAATTTTAAATAAGCTGGTAATTGCCTGTTTTTAATTTATGTATGACCAACATTTAATGTCTTTAAGATATAATTTTTCCTGTTGTCTGTTTATCACATGGGAATGTTAACCATATGGAGGTCTGACTTTCAAATATTATTTTACCCCATTATAAAATAAAAACAGGAATATAGTAAATGGGGAATAAAATACATGCAACATAACTTTTGACTAAAAAGGACCGAATGATAATTATCACTGAGTTATTCCTTCATGTGATGGTGTTCAACCACATACTTTCTGTTTTCTTCCCAACAGGACTACAAACATGGCTGATGAGGCACGGGCCCCCTTGGTCGGCCGGCCATTGGCATTCACAAATGAAGAGCGTAGGGCGGTTCACTCTTGGTCTCGGATCTCATCAGCAGGGCACAGCGTCCTCCTGGATGCTCTGAAGATCCTCAGCCCAATGTCCCGTGACCTCTCAAACACAGAGGAGCTGGTCACCTTCCTGCAGGAGCTAAGTGAGGAGGGCCACAAGCCCACTGTGCTGCACAGCAAGGACGTGTATGGCTACCGCTCCTGCACAAACCAACCTCTGACTGAAGACATGCTGAAGCAACCCACTAAGGG